TGAGACCAGTGTTCCCTCTAAGCTGAGTTGGTGTGAGCTAGCTCACAGTTTCTTAACCTCCGGCTCACACATTTTTGTCTCGGCTCAGGAAGGAGGGTTCCAGGGCAAACTAATTTATGCAGCAGCCAAATCGCTCGCTCACAACTTTAATGCCAGGAGCTCACCAAGTAGAATTTTTGCTCACAAGACTCCACGGCTTAGAGGGAGCATTCCAAACGCTTTAAGAATCAGTGTCGCTTGGCTCTCAGGATGCCAAAAGCAAGCACCAGATGTTTCATTCGCATAGCAAACCCAACCCCCTAAGAGCCCTAAGAACCCGCTAATACCTCTGTCATGCCTTAATTACAGGAGGTGGTGGCGGTTACAAGCATGGACGGCTTCAAGAGGGAACTGGATAAACATATGGAGCAGAGGTCCATCAGTGGCTATTAGCCACAATGTATAGATAGGAACTCACTGGCTGGGGCAAGGGATGCTCTGTTCTTGGTGCTTGGGGGGGGGCGCAACAGTGGGAGGGCTCCTAGTGTCCTGGCCCCACTGCTGGACCTCCTGAGGGCCCCTGGTATTTCTGGCCACTGTGTGACACAGAGTGTTGGGCTGGATGGGCCATTGACCTGATCCAACATTGGCTTCTCTGATGTTCTTATGTAATTCCGCCCCCCCCCTTCTGTGACCTCTGACACTACACCAGCACTGTATGGGTATTATGTCCTCAAGTGCTTTTGCACTGTCATTGTTACATTAGCACTGCATCATATGGGTACTATCTCTTTAAGTTCTTTTGCAATGTCATACCGCCCCCCCCCCATTTTTCCCTCTCTGTGACCTCTGACACTACATCAGTACTGTATCATTCTCTAGTACATGAGTTGAGTTCATGATATCCATCTGTCTGTGCTGTTACATGTACGAACATGAAATTAAGCAAACTCCGGAGCACGACGGAAGACAGGAGGGCCTGGCGTGATATGGTCCATGGGGTCGCGAAGGGTCGGACTCGACTGTGCGACTGAACGATAACCCTGTTACATATTGATGTCACATTGGCCCTGATAAGGCAATTTTACTTATACTCTTAGGGCCTAAATGGGAAGGTATTTCTTTCTTTGTATTTAATTTATGTTTTTATTTATTACATTTTAGTAATTGTTACATTTTGGAATTTAATTTTATTTCTAGGTACATATTGGTACGATTACTATTTCCAACAGATGCAATTACTTCTGACACCAGGCCAGATACATTTTTGGCCCCCATAAACAAAAATCTTTTCGTGTGCCATTCAATTCCAGATTGGAAGTTAAGTAGGGTATAGTAAAATATGCATTTTTAATACTGGGTGGAATTTCCAGTTAGGTAATTAAATATTAATCTTTTTTTCATTTCCCCATACAGCATTCCATTTTTGGTCATATATTAATTGTTTACTGCCTTACAAGTGTTAACAGGGACTTTGTTGCACAGTGTATTTTGTATTCTGTAATTTCTGTACTACTTGACCTCTGAAGAAGGCTCTCATACGTTGTGCGTTCGTCACTTTGAGCATTTTAGGAGGCTTTATTTGGGCCCTTACAAGGTGTTGGGTTTTCTGAAATTAACACGTATTCTTTTGTATATACCTATCGATGTTTTTAACTTTTGGCCCTTAACTAGTTTTCTAGACTTCCTTCGGAGGCTTTTGCTTGCTTGGTTGATTCTTCCCCTCGCTTTGTGGCTGCACTCCCGCTAATACCTCTGATCCCACGCACAGACACAACCCCCCCGGTGTTACCTTGATCATAGTGATGTTGATCACCTGTGTGGTGCGCCGGCGAGCGGAGAGACTCTTCCGTCCCGACTCGAAGGAAACGTCGCCCACAGAACTGAGGCTGGTCCCAAGCTTGGACCGTGCTCGGGTGGGGATGGGCGTGAAGTAGAGGCTCTCCAGGGACTCCACTTTGCGGGGCAGCTGCTGGGATGCCTTGGAAGGCTCTGCGGCCCCAGATTCGGAGAGGGAGCGGCGGGTCTTCCTGTTGGGAAGAGAGACATGGGGAGGAACCACAAAAAAGAGTGACGCGGTGGCACACAGCTGCTCGGCACAGAACACACACACACACGAAGCTGCCTTACGCTGAATCAGACATTTGATCGCGGTTAGTATTGCCTACTCTGACTGGCAGCTGCTCTCCTGGGTCTCAGGCCGAGGTCTTTCCCATCACCTACCACCAGTGTTCCCTCTAAGCTGAGTTAGTGTGAGCTAGCTCACAGTTTTTTAGCTTCTGGCTCACA